ATGGTGTGATCTCTTATCTTACAAGGGCTCTCCTGTTAATTCATGTTATTTTCTCACTAGTTTTAAAATAAAGTGGTTTAGCTGGTTTGCCCCCCAAAAAAAAAAAAAAAAAAAAAAGAGTTAACCAGAGACTCTCTTGAGTGTTCTAAAACAGTTCTATATAATACTGTCATCCCTCTATACCTGTGGAGGATTGGGTTAAACCCTGGGGATATCAAAATTGTCAGATTCACAAGAGCCTTATATGAAATGGCATAGTATTTGCATATAACCTGCACATCCTCCTATATATTTTAAATAATCTCTGAATTATCTTAATACCTAATACAATGTAAATACTACATAAATATTTGGTATACTATATTGTTTAGCAAGTAATGACAAAAAAGTCTGTACATGTTCAATATAGACACATGCTCAATACTTTAGATCCATTGTTAGCTGAATCTATTGATGCAGAACTTGAAGTCTCAGAGGGCTGATATGGAGAGCCAACTGCATAATCTAATTAAAGAAGTGTCTATCTCATCATATTCAGAGGTACTGCCCACATTCAAGGTCAGGGGATAATAAGAGTATATGCACACTAGGGAGCAAGAATCCTGAGGAGGGCTGGGGATGTGGCTCAAGGGGTAGCGTGCTTGCCTGGCATGCGTGCGGCCTGGGTTTGATCCTCAGCACCACATATAAACAAAGATGTTGTGTCTGCTGAAAACTAAAATAAATAAATAAATATTTAAAAACTCTCTCTCTCTCTCTTTGAAAAAAAAAAAAAAGAACTGTGATGTAGCTCAGTGGTCAAGTGCCTCTGGTTCAGTCTCTAGTACTGCAGAAACAAAATTAATCAGATTTATATTAAACCAAAGTTGTTTTAACCTTATTTGACTGTTTAAAAACAATCTATTTTATGTGATACATCCTTTAATTTTTTTTTTTTTTTTAATTTTCAGGGCTGGGGTTCAAACTCAAGGCCTTGAGCATGCTAGGCACTCTACTACTGAGTTATATATCCAGCTCTCAAATGTAATTTTGATAATTAGGTTAATGAAGACTAACTCTGGTTAGAGTAAATGGTGGACATTTTCTGTACCTACACTGTCCAAACAGTAGCCATTAGCCATGTGTGGCTCCTGAGCTCTTTAAGCGTGGCTAACATAATTGAAGAAATAAAATTTTAATTTATAAACCAAAATTTACTAGCATAAATTTTATAATGCTGATTACATGTTGAATTATGATTTTTATATATCTATCCAAGTGAAATGCTTTATAAAATTAATTTCAAGTGTTTCAAACTTTTTTTCAGTGCTGGGAATAAAATCTATGGCCTTGAACATGTTAGACAAGACCACTGAGCTACACTCCCCAGCCCTGTTGCTAACATTTTTAGTGTGGCTAATAGAAAAATTATAATTAGGTGGATGTGATGGTGCCAGTCTGCAATTCTGGTGACCTGGGAGGTTGAGGCAGGAGGATTACAAATTCAAAGCCAGCCTCAATAACTCAGTAAGGCCCTAAATAATTTAGTGAGACCCTGTAACAGAATTTTAAAAAGGGCTGGGGATGAGGCTCAGTGGTAAAGCACCTCAGAATTCAATTCCTCATATCAAAATAAAAGAAAAATTGTAATCATATGTAATTATATTTCTACTGGACTTCATTGTAGTATTCATTAGTGAAGCTAAATCTGCAACTTCAAGGCTTTGTTTGTGGTACTAAGGATTTAACCCAGGCATACTTTATTGCTAAGCTACATTTCAGCCCTGTTTTTCATTTTATTTTGTCACAAGGTTTAAGTTGCTGAAACTGGCCACTGAACTTTCAACCCTCCTTCCTCAGCCTTCTGAGTATTACAGGTATGTGCTACAATATTCTGCTGGAACTTCAAGGTTTTGAGAAAAACATATTCAAAGTACTTGGTAAGTTTATTAAAAGTGTTGTATTGAGGGCTGGGGATGTGGCTCAAGCGGAAACGCGCTCGCATGGCATGCATGGGGCACTGGGTTCCATCCTCAGCACCACATAAAAATAAAGATGTTGTGTCCGCCGAAAACTAAAAAATTCTCTCTCTAAAAAAAAAAAAAAAGTGTTGTATTGAATTTAACAATATTTAATAGTCCTAAAACTTTCTTTAAAAAGGTGCCTCTGTTAGAAGAAAACTGTATACGATTAGTAGTTTGTTGGTAAGTTGAGATGAACTTCCCATAAAATGAGAAAGTGACTCTCACAACTAACAAATCCTTTTGAAAAGGAGAAACTAATCAAATTGTTAGCTAGAAATTCATCAAAAGTGCTTTTTGAAAGCAAAGTGAATTGTGGTATAAAACTAGAAAGTTCAAAGAATTAGATGACATCAATATAACAAAATTCCTTCCATTTATGTCCATTTACATACATGGGTAAGGTATTTCAGAGCTAACTGATGCAGAAACTATCTTATTCTAGTAATAACTAATATTTATTCACAAAAATTTGGTGTAATTGAAAAAAATATACATATATATATATTTTTTTTTGCGGGAGTGGTAGTGCTAGGGATGGAACCCAGGGCCTTGTGCATGCTAGGCATAGGCTCTACCACTGAGCCACACCCAGTGGAAAAAAAGATTTTAGAGTCAGGTGTGCAGGTGTGGTCAGTCTGAGCTCTTCATTTTCAACTGGGCTATCACTCTTTTTCTTATTGATTCCTGGGATTCTTTTTAATATTAAAAGAAATGTACCTATACTATACAATAGAGTTAAGGTCTCCAACAGCTGGGCCAGGTGGTGCACACCTGTAATACCAGAGGCTCAAGAGGCTGAGGAAGGAGGATAGAATTCAAAGCCAGCCTCAACAATGGCAAAGTGCTAAGCAACTCAGTGAGACCCTGTCTCTAAATAAAATACAAAATAGGGCTGAGGATGTGGCTAAGTGTTTGAGTGTCTCTGAGTTCAAACCCTAGCAGTACCAAAAAAAAAAAAAAAAAGGATTCTGTTGCTAAAACCAACGTTTGAAAATAATTGCCTATATGCTACTTTGCAACTTAACCTTGCTGATAAAAACTTGGCCACTCATTCCTTTGGGAATCTTTATCATTTAGAGTCCAGGAATATTTGTCCTATGTATAAGAACTTGAAGAGCTTCCTCATTAAAAAAAAATAGTCTACAATGTGAGAAGCTTATTTCAGAGTGTATTAATGCTAAAAATAATTATCAGGTGGTCAAGGCAAGTTTGAGAGGATATCTGAAAAAAAAATGAATGTGACTGCAAACTAAAGATCAGAAAATGACTTGAGATTCAGGTAAGTTGTGTGTAACGACTGGTAGACCAGATGTGTAGTTGGGAATTTTTTGTTTTCTGAATAAAATTTCTCTCTCATTTATCTTACCTGCATGCATACTGCAACTCTGAACTTTCAGCACACTAAAAATTATATTGATCATATAGTATTTCTTATAATTCACAAACACCACAAGTGGCCTACAATGTGAGAAGCTTAATTCAGAGTGTATTAATAAGGTGGTCAAGGCAAGTTTGACACATAATAATATGCAACAGGATATATAAGCTTACAGACATCCTTTTCTTAAGAAAGCTAGGAGGAATTTTGTTTCTACTTTGATGGGACACAGGCTATCAAAATTTCATACAGTACAGTCCACTACTGTGGTTGAAAATCCATTCATGAAATATTTTGTAAGATAAAATACACACAGTAGACAGAAAACTGGGCCAAATAGATCAGCCAGGAGGAGTCATGCCTGTGTAGTCAGGAATCAGCAAGAGTGTAAAAAGGAAGGAAAGACAATAGGATTTGGTCTTTGGTTAGAGGAAGACTTCAAATA